GATGCTACAGTAATTGTTGACTTCGCTAGGAGTTGTGGAAAACGGTTGATTTCGCCTGGGTGAGTTGTCAAAGTTGTTGTCCTCGTCTGACGCGTTGATGCGATTGTCGGTAACCGTCGGTGCTCGCATTCTCGGCGGTTTTGACAGGGCAGCGGTTCAATTTCAATGCAGGCACGTGACAGGCAGCCCGCAGGGTCCCCTCGCCCCTGACACCCTGATCTCTAGTGCCCAGTGCCCCGGTACATAGTTACACAGTATTGCAGTACACGGTACCCCACCAGTCCATAGCACGCAGTACCCGAGTGGCCTTACGCAGTATCCTGGTACTCGCGTAGTAGTACATTGGTTACTGATTGTTTGCGTTCTGACAGCCTTCATGTCATGTACTGCGTCTTATATTTCTGTATCCCCTTTGCTTGTATACAGAGCCACCGTGTTCGTCGCTACTTCATTGCGCTAGTGCGTTCTCTAGTGTGTTTGTGTTCGTGTGTTTGGGTGTCAGTGCATTTTGTTTCACAGTTTTTGTTGTTGTAGTTGTAAGTGTAGTTGTTGCTGTCGTCGTTGTTGTTGTTGCTGTTGTTGTCGTTGTCGTTGTCGTTGTCGTTGTTGTTGCTGCTGTTGTTGTTGTTGTTGTCGTTGTTGTTGTTGTTGTTGCTGCTGCTGCTGCTGCTGTTGTTGTTGTTGTTGTTGTTGTTGCTGCTGCTGTTGTTGTTGTTGTTGTTGTTGTTGTTGTTTGTTTATTCGTGTTCTACGAATGTGACTGTGATGTGTCGCTGTGCGCTTCTGCTTGCGACGGTGTGCCCGTGCGTCCAACTGGGCAGAAGTGTGCGCCACGCGTGTATACATTTAATCATTTTATACATACATGCATAGCCTTCATGCGTATATGTACCGTGTATCACATTAGCAACAACCCTTGTAGTGTGTAGTGTGTGCAGTGTACAATGGTATACCGCTGCTCGCAGGAAAGTGCCACTTTTCCGTGATTGAAAATGATGTAGGTATATATATATATATATGATTGAGGGACAAATATGCTCTATGCGTCCTTTGACCTTTCCAAATACGTTTATTTGATTTAAAGTGATAAAAACATTTCAAGAATATGAAGTACTTAGGTTTTCAATTCTATTGTTTAAATTATTTAAATTATTTACACTATTTAAATTATTAAAATTATTTACAATATTTAAAGTATTTAAATTATTTGAATTATTCCTGGAATGCAGATTCTCGCGTATTAGAATTTCGACGGAATTAAATAATTCAAATAATTTAAATAATTTAAATAATTTGAATAATGTTTTAATTTAAATAATTTAAACAGTTTAAATAATTCAAATTATTTAAATTGATTAAAATATTTAAATTATTTAAAAATATTTGAATTATTTGAATTATTCAATTCCGTAGAAATCCGAAGGCGCGAGAATCTGCATTCCAGGAATATTTGAATAATTGAAATAATTTAGATAATATAAATAATTTAGATAATTTGAATACCTTAAATATTTTAGATAATTCAAATATTTAAATTATTTGAATTATTTGAATTTTTTAAAGTATTTGAATTATTTGAATTATTTAATTCCGTCGACATCCTAAGGCGCGAGAATCTGCATTTCCAGGAATATGTAAACAATTCAAATACTTTGAATATTTTTAAATAATTTAAATAATTTAAATAATTTAATTAATTTAAATTGTTTAAATTATTAAAATTATTTGAATTATTTAAATTATTTAAAATATTAGAATTATTTGAATTATTTAATTCCGTCGGAATCCTAATGCGCGAGAATCTGCATTCCAGGAATAATTTAAATAATTTAAATAATTTAAATAATTTAAGTAATTGAAATAATCCAAATAATTTAAATAATTTAAATAATTTAAATAATTTAAATAATTTAAATAGTGTGGGCGTGCTTGTCTGCCGAGCCGCCTGCCAGCATATTTCAATACTTTAAATAATTTAAATAATTTGAATCGCTCGGGCTGCTTAAAATTATTTAAATTATTTCAATTATTTGAATTATTTAAATATGTTGGAACGCGGCTCAGCAGGCTGGCAGACCCTCACGATTTGAATTATTTAAATTATTTGAATATCGCCCCGTCAGAAATAATTTAAATAATTTAAATAATGTAGACATGTTTGTTTGCCGATCGACAGAGGGTTCTGGGAGGGGGGTCTGTGCGGGTGGCCCTGCGCGGGGGGTGATCCTGGGTGGGGACGGACCTGGGCGGGGGGGCTCTGGGCGGGGGGCCCTGAGGGGGCTGGAAGGGATATGCCTTGAATACGCTTGGCGCTGATGCTTTTGACTCAGACGATGTATCCGAACGCAGTAGGGAAGTACATAGTCTCGCAATGAAAACGCTTCCTATGGCGGGGAGGTCGATTGACCTTCCGCGTCGCAACCCTCGTAGTTCAAAGCGCCGTCAGAATCCCCTTCACCCTCGGCGTCGTCCTCCGGCACCCGCTCCGTCGCCCCCCCGTCCGTGATCATGATCTCCCGCTGGGTCGCGTTGTCCGTGCCGAAGAGGGCTGCGACGTTAATCCGCTTCATATATGAGATCCAGTCAGGGCGTTCGGTGTTGGGCGCCGAGGATTCGTTCGCCTCAAGACGCCTCCATCCCACTTGCTGTAACTGATCTGGTGATACCGAATATGGGCATCTCTCAGATATAGCTGCTGCGGTACGAAATTTATCTAGTACGTTCTGCGCGCCCATGAGGTCCCGCGAGACTTGATCAGGCGGAACGGGCGACTGCCTCGGCGAGTGGGTCGGCGCCGCAGTGGCAGGCTCATCGGCGGACGCCATGGGCGCGGGGGGGGCGCGCCAGTGGGATCTGAAGATCGCGCGCAGAAAAGTTTGAGATGTAGTCAATTGGCTCTGGGGATAATGGCATGAGAGAGCTGGCCGAATGGCATGAGCGAGCTGAACAATTAGACTGGGCGACTGAGCTGCAAGGCCGACCTGACCGAGCGGGGCGGGAAGCGCCTTGGCTAGTTAACTCGACATGCAAATATTTTCCACCGTCAGATCTAAACAATGAATGCTAATCAAAACTCTCAGATGTCGCGTGAGAAGCGCCTCAGAAGCGGCACGAGGTCTGAACGTTTGCCTGGCACTAGACAACCCTCGCAACCGCATTAAACAGCTGGGCCTGTTGCTACTTCTTAGATATCCACAACCGAAATGCTCGTACAGGTACCTACTGGGTCATGCGTCAAAGCTGCGAGCGGAAGGCGATCTAACGGATGACTCGCTTCCTATTGAAGGGAGTGCGCTTGGCCCCCTTCATTGCCGCCGGCCTCTTCTGCGCAGCCTTCATTGCCGCCGGCCTCTTCCGAACGATAGACTTAAAGTTCTTACGATCCTTTGCCCACTGCTTGGCCAATGGCTGAGAAGCCTTCCGCTGGGCGCTCTTGGGCAGGCACGCCTTCGCAGGCGCGCCAACACCCGATGCCTGCGCCGCGCAGAAGCGCTGCCATTCGTCAGGGGATGCGAGCTGGCGGCCCATCGCAGTCGCGAGCACAGTCTGCGAGGTGAGCGCTCTCAGAGCTGGCGCGTACATGGCGGCGTTGTGCGCGATCAGCTTGGCGTGGGTGGCCGCCGCCAGCTGCAGTTCCGGCGTCTCAAGGTAGAGCTCGGGCTGGTTGCGGAACCACTTGTTGACCTCGGCGTGCAGCGCCTCGTTCGGCGACGTGCCAGAACCAATCAGCGATTGGTACTTCTTGGGTAGGGAGTGGCGCATCCGCGTGTTGTTGAACAAGAACTGCGCCCGCTCCACCGACGTAGCCGACCAGAGCACATCTACCAAGAGCCGCCCGCTCGCCGTGCCCCGGTTCACCTGAGGAAACGAGATCATCGATATGCAGATCTCGATCATGCGACCGACGGCGGCATTGACAAACGGCGAACGGACGAACGAATGGGAGCGATCGGGGAGAGGAAAGCATCTGCACAAGTGGCCTCATCCCAGTACACTGATGTAATAGCCGCCATGGCTCTGACGAAATCATCGGTGTTCTTAAAAGGCTCTTCCCCGTTCAGGTTGTCCAGGAGGCGCTGCGCCTCTCGGCTGGGCATGATGCCGTTCTTCACTGCGTCCCGACTTCTGTTCTGGTCTGGGGTCAGAGGTTGCAATTGTCCGCCAGTGTACGCTGGGCCCCACGCGTCCGAGGTAGCCTGATAATCAATCTTGTTGAATTTGTTCAGAACCGTGCGCAGCGCTGTCTGCCCTGGCCTCGGCGCAGTCTCACTGGGGCGGTCATGGCGACCGCAGATGCCAACGATCGACGATCGGAATCTTCGAACGACGACAACGATCATGGAGGTGGCACGATCGGCATCGGGCAACAACTAAGCCTACGGCGTATGCTTTTTCCAGTGAGCCGAGTTGTAAACGATGGCTAGGTGCACTGGGTCCAAGCTGAGCCACGTCAGATTCTTGCAGATCTCTAGCAACTGGCCGTACAACTCACCAGTAGGTTCGTCCGTCGCGATCGAGCGGCACTGATCGAGAGCTGCTTGTGGAAGACGCATCTGAAGCATATCCTTGATGTTCCTCGCGGCCTCAGACGCGATCGGCCACATGCCTGCGACGGCCGCCGTGCGGCCGCGCACCGTGAGGATGCGCCTCTCGGCCACCGTGTCGTCAAATGGCGCGGCGGCTCTCTTCTCCGCAGAGTCCCGGTAATTCGCCTGCCCTTTGATGCGCATGGCCGCCCTGATGGTGGCGTCGATCGACGCGTGCACGAACTCGTCGTGATCGAGCAACTGCTGCATGAGTTGATCGCGCGCAGCGCGAACAAATGGCGCGCTGAGGAGATCTTCCAACAGCTCCAGCCATTGGGGGACCTTCTGCGGAAGCAAGTGCGTCAGCTGCGACCCTGCCTCCGCGCATCTCACCACGATGCGCGCGCGAGTGGGCCGAACGCGCCCGTAGTTCAGCATGAACTCCTTGAAGAGAATCTCCGCGAATGCGTGGCTTTAGTACGTATCCCCGACGCGCCTCGCCAGCGTCGTCGGGCCCTCGAACGGCCGGGACTGGACAGCGGCTGCGTTGATGAACGTCGGGCCAGCGCCGTCCAACAGGAGACGGATGTCGCGATCAATCCTGAGGCAGGTCAGCGCAGGCTTCACACTCTGTCGCAACATCCGGGCACTGCGTTCGAGATACCGTCCCTGGCTTTTTCCCTGGCATCGGTCGGAATCGAACATCGCGAACACCATCTTCATCTGCTTCGTGCCAGGCGCCACGTAGTTACCGCAGCCCATCTGCCTCGTACCAGTTCGTTGGCTCTTCTTCTCTGGGTTATGATAATTCGACAGGTGCGTCAGCAAGTTCCGCTTCGCCTTGGGGCTGCTCATGTCGAACTCCTTGAAGGGGCAGAGAATGCAACGCGACTGGCGGCCGCGACCCACGGCCGCTTTCGCGGCGTCCACCTCCGCCTTCAGCGCCCGCAGTAGCTCGGAGCGTACGTCTACAGTGCCTTCGTCACAGCTCTCCTCGTCGCAACTGGCTTCGCTGCCCTCGTCGTCTCCAGCGGCCAGTAGATCCAGCAGCCCGTCCAACTGCGCGCTCTCGTCATCGTCAATGCCATCATCCAGGCGGAAAGCCACGACCGTCTTGATGTCGAGCGCGCTGGCGTAGCACTCCGCGAAAACGGACGCGCTCATCTTCTGCGCCTTGCCTTTCTCGCAGATCACGACCTCCCCGCATTGGATCACCGCGCCGACGCAGTGCGGAAGCCCGCCGTTCTCCGCGTGAAGAAGGTAGCACCCCTCAGTGCAATCCTGGAGACTGGTCCGCGGGAGAAATCGCGTGCCCAGCAGCTCTGCCACGTCGCGGTACTTCCTGAAATCCTCGGCCTGCTGCTCCACAATCTTCTCTCGCACGCTCTGCCACTGTCCAGTCGCTGCTGCGAACGCGCAGGGTATGCAGTTGCCGCGCCGAAACAGCTGGTCGTCCGCACTGCTCGGCGCGCCGCTGTCGTAATCGTGCACCGCCAAGCCCTTCGCGTGCAGCAGTTCGAAGAAATTGAGGTTCTCATTGTGGCGCCTGGAGTTGATGTTCGAACGGGTCGCGGAGCGCGCTGAAGGTGTCGGGGACGGCGAAGACGATGACACAGGGCTGCCGCGCGTTGCTCTTGCCGCCTTGGAGGCGAGGCGACGTCGCTTCCTCGACGGCGGAGTCGGCCCGTCATCATCCCATCGGCCAGCAGCCAGGAGATCCAGCAGCCCGTCCAGCCGCGCGCTCTCCTCAGCATCAATGCTATCGCCCAGACGGAAAGCCACGACCATCTTCATGTCGAGCGCGCTGGCGTAGCATTCCTCGAAATCAAAAACACTCATCTTACGAGCAGCGCCCTTCTCGCAGATCACAACGCTCCCGCCCTGGATCAGCGCGCCGACGCAATGCGGAAGCCCGCCGTTCTCCGCGTGAAGAAGGTAGCCCCCTTCCTGGCAGTCCAGGAGGCTCGCCCGCGGAAATAATCTCGTGCCCAGCACTTCTGCCACGTCGCGGTACTTCCTGACATCCTCGACCGGCTGCTCCAACATCTTCTCTCGCACGCTCTGCCGCTGATCAGTCGCTGCTGCGAACGCGCAGGGTATGCAGTTGCCCCGTAGAAACAGATGCTTGTTGTCTTCGTTGCTGCGCGGGCCGCCCTCATCAACGACTGCCGCGCTCTTCGCACGCAGGAGGTCGAATAAATAGGAATGCTCCTTGTTGCGCAACGTGACGGCGTAGCCGGTGGCGGCGTGAACTCGCTCAGAGCAGCCCGAGCAGAAATCTCCCAAGCTCCCCGTCGCGGCGACGCGGTCCACGTCCACGCGCGCGCCGTCGAAATGCAAGGGCAGGTGCTTCACGCGCTCCTCGCATATGAAATTGACGACGTGCTGCAATATGTTGTTCTCTACGCCCTGCCATAGATAACTAAATGTAGAAGCCTCCGCCCGTTTCCCCTCCTGCTGTTGCATCGCGCGGTGCACGTCAGGCAGCAGCGAAACCGCCAGCCACCTCAGCATCCTGGACGCCCTGGACAGGGCAGCAAGGAACTCATTCCCCTTGAAACCAGCGGGCGCGGATGCCCCGCACGCGACCTCCAAGATAATCCTTTTGCCGACAGACATTCCCACGCCGAGTTCCTGCTCGCAAACTTCGCGCCGATTCTTTTGGAGACGATCAAGGACTGCAAATTCTTCTGCGAAAACCTTCTCGTCCAGGAGGCTCAGCCGCTTCAACATCTGCGGAAGGATGCAGAACAAGAAGTTCTCCATGTCCAAATCGAACGTGTTGGTGAGCAAAACCTTCTGCAAGCGCTGGTCCATGGACTGCGCGCCCACAGAGTCGTCGACGAAGAGGCGAGACCTCAGGCGAAGCCGCATCCACCGAGCGTGCGCCAATTTTACTTATTGGGCCCGCCTCCCTCCCCCTCCTCATAATTCTTCACGATCACTCAGACGACTCGAGATCCACTATGGACCGCAGATCGAGATCCCGATGCTGATCGATTCACCGCCCGTCCAAAATGCAGGATCTACGACCGAGCCAAGGTCAAAATTTGAGGTCGCGGCGGCCACTCCACCTTGTGATGGTACCCCGTGGAAACCGTAATCGGAGCCTCGTCGTCGAAATGAGCCGACTCCCCCTGCGAGCTCGGGCCGCTGCCCTTGGCCGAAACGCGCTTCCTCTTGATTTCCTGAGCGCGCTTGTCCCTGCTCGCCAAAGTATCGATGAAAGACTCCATGTGTCGAACTGATTCAGCCCTCTCCGACCACGCCGCCTCGCGCGCAGCCTTCTCGGCAGCCTGTCGGCCGGGGCGCCGAATGCCTTTGCCCAGTGCATCCGCCAGAACCATAGCGTTAGTTTTGCGTGCTCCGTGCTCAAAGAATACTGACCGAAAGGACTTCATGTCGCAAACCTCTGGGTAGTTGCACGCGCCCATCAAGCTCTCGTCGATCAGCGCGCTCATGCCGTTCTTGGTGCGTATGCGCGGCGCGATGCGATCGGCCGCCTTGCCCACTGTTCCGATGCCCACCCATAGGCCCTCTGTCTGCAGGCGCTGAAAGGCCTTCGGCTTAGGGGCAGGAAGCTTGCAACTGGTCGGCAGCGTCATCGCCTTGAAAGCTGGAAGCGTAAGGAAGTCCATGTTTTTCTTTTGACATTCTTGAATGAGTGCCATGCTGAAATCTAACCACTCCTTGGGGGCTTTGCACCCGTGCTCCTGCGAGTTGGGCGCGTCGATCTCCGCCTGCAGGGACCCAGCCACGTTCGACGTCTTCTCGAGGAGGCCGCAAGCCTGCCGCAGCGACTTCTCCGTAATTCCTCGATCGCCAACGCAGCGGGCATACCGAACGATAATGTCGCGACACGCCTCCGCGCCGTTATCGTCCTCGAAGGCGAACTGCACTCGATGCCCAGCGGCGACGCCGACGGAGGACATGAGAAACTCCTTCGCATCTGGGTCGCGGGCGAAGATCCCGGCGGCCGCGGCGTCGCCGAAGTTCTGCTCAACATACATGCGATCGAAAAACCGCGCCTGTATCTTCACCACGGCAAGCCTGCGCATCAACGACTCCACGTTCTGCTCAGTGATATCGTCGAACACCAGGAACTTGTTGACCTCGAGTCTCTTCCAACCCACAATGCGAAACATCTTGGTCAAGATTGAATACGGAAGTCTTCCAGAAGCACCCTCCGCTGTGGCAAATTTCTTGAGTGAGTCCTGGCGGCTCGGCGCCGAGGCGACGCGGCGGCGGCTCTCGCGCCCCGACTCTGAAGAGCGCGACGCGGGCGGCGCGCTCTTCGGCTGCCGGGGCGCGAGTAACCAATATACCAGCCGCGGCGCGTTTGACGCCAGAGCCGCAATCCTCCCGCATCGTTCCGCGTTGTCCGCTGGGTCGTTCTTGACCTGTGAAGATAAAGCCGTCGACCAGCAGCTCGACCACCTTGCGTAACTCGTCATCGACGAAAAATACATTAGGATCAAAGTATTTGTGATTCTTGTGGCCGTACATCGCCTCCAAATGGCTCGTAAGCAGACTCAAACCGACGCCGCCAGGTCCCCAATACACTGTGATAGTGTCAACATTGTAGCCTCTCTTCGCGAGCGCCTGGGCCGCCTGCCCGAACACGAAAGCATCTGGAGTGGACCAGAACGTCTGTGAATATATCTTCTGCACGCGGACCACCGCCGCGTCGAGCACGGGGTCAGTGGACAGGAGCTGCGAGCGGATGCCAATGTAAACCGAGTTCTCAGGTGATCGCTCAGAAGAAAATGTCACAGGATTACCCAGCACATCGTACTTCACGATGCAGTCTTCGTAGGCGACGCCAGCAGATCGCATGGTGTCCTGAGAGCACCATTCAATAAAGTACGACATGATTTTGCTGCTGAGAAGTTCTGTCTGTAATTTGGTCGATACCTTACTGATTGTCTGGGCGACTGCGATGTGCCACGCGTCGGAGGCCCTGGTGAGGTCGTCGCCTTCGGCGTCCTCGGCACCGCGCCCCCGCCCCTCGCCTTCGCCCTCGCCATCGGGCGCCTGCGCCGCAATCCCCTTGCCCTTGCCTTTTGCTTTCTGCAAGATCGCATTGCCCTTGTTGAACACGCAGTTGTCGCGGAACGAGACGAGCGCGGCCGCCTCCTTAACTGCGTAAGATATGTCTCCGTTGATCTTCGCAACCGCGTTCTCAACAGCGCTGTCGATGGCAGTGATCACGGCGGAATCCACTCGCTCCACGCCGCACGGGAAATCCCTGAATATTCCTTCCAGAGTCAGCATGAAGCGAGACGCCGCGAAGAGCAGCTCTGGCGGGAGGAGGCCGTCGAAGACGTCGAAGTAACCGAGACGTTGATCGTAGAAGTAAGCCCGTCCGTTGTGGGCGCGGAGAAGGCGGTCGCCCAGTATAATCCAGATCATTTGCACGTGCTGCACGGTCCCCACGTCCACTGAGCGCGACCGATACATGCAGAGGGCCGCGACGCCGATGCGCTTGAGGTCCGAGCTCCAGTCAGGGCCACGATCTGCGTGTACTTCTCGGTGTCGGCGACGAGCCCCGTGTTCTTGGCCACGGACGTCGCGCGCACCTGGCTGAGCCGGCCCTTGCCCTTCTTCGCGTTGACCTTCTGGAATATATCTGCGAAGATGGTATCCGACTGCTCGGCGCCGTGGATCCTCTTGCGCCTCTCCACGGCCGCCCGCACATCATCTCGACCGCAGTCAGCCGGCATGTCGTCATCGGCAGCTGCCAGCACTGCCGCTTCCGGCGTGCTCGGCACCCGCGCGCTCTCCAAGCTGCCCATGAGATCCCGCGAATACTGAGAGAGCGCGGGGGGGGCCGGCCCAGGCGATGAGGCTGCCGCGGAGGCGGAGCGAATGCGCGCACCCTCTGGAGGAGGATGCCCAGCGGCCGACGCCATCGGGGCCGCGCGCTGCGTGAGCGGGAGAGCAGCTAGCTAAACGGCAAAGAGTCGGGATGCCTCGGGTTGTAGACAATGGCTCTGGAGCTGTGCATTAGAGCTCTGGGCGTCGATGATGATAGAGATGGAGATGTGCCTGTTGCTACTTCTTAGATATCCACAACTGAAATATGTGTAAAGGTACCTTCTGGGTCATGCGTCAAAGCTGCGAGCGGAAGGCGGTCTAACGGATGATCTGCTTCCTATTGAAGGGAGTGCGCCAAGCGTTGGATCTATGCGGTGAAATCTATGCGGCGCAATCCGCGCGTGCAATATATGTGCGCGGCAACCTATGCGATGCATGGATGGCGCGGTTTAAGTAATGCAATCGATGCCTTCGCCACGCCTTCGCCAAAATCGCGAGTTGAATCTACATAGTATAAACTATGCGGCGCAATCCACGTGGTGCAATATACGTGCGCGGCACCCTATGTGATACATGGATGGCGCAGTTTGAGTAATGTAATCTATGCGATGCAAACAATTTGTCAAACGCTATGCGCCCGCTAGTCCTGGTGGCGACCCATGGCCGAGAGCGACGCTATGGGCCGTTCTTTTTTCAAATCTCACGAGTGGTGCAGGAGCTCTGTATTAGAGCACTGGACGTCGATGGTGATAGATTCAAGAGACGATTCTTTTTCCAGCGGCAATGACCGGCAAGGCGTTCCAAGCATTGCTGCAGCGAGGTGCTCGGGCGCAGCGAACAGCCCTGAACCACAGGATCCGCGCGCGCTGCGCAACTGCTACAAAGTGTCACCCCTCTAAATGATGCAATCCAGCGCGCGCCCTTCATTTCCTGCTCCCATCCAAGCCCTTGCGCGTGTCAGCCCGCCCTCCCATGGGACGCGCCGCGCGCTCCACGCGCGGCCGCGCGCAGCTGCTGCAGTCAGGACGCGGCCCAGCCACTCACGCGGCCGCGGCAGGGCCGGCCGCCGCCGCGGCGCCGGCCTATCTCACTTATTACCCGACACTTTGGCGCAGCATCGGCATGGATAAGCCAGGCGGCACGGCATCGCACCTGGCACGGAACTGTCCTTGGGGACGATCAGGGGAGAAATGGTGTCGTCACGGTCAGCGCAGCAATAGCTCCGACCGAAAGCCTCCGCCGCGGGCAGCGCCTTGGCCAGGGGGCCGACGCGCTCGAAGTACTTATCACCCTTGTTTGCGAAGCCATAGCCACGAAACAAGTGAATCTCTTCGACGACGATCTGCTTTTCGTCGAAGATCAGCTGGTAGCAATCCCCGTAAGAACGGCTGGTCTTCGGGGGCCCATCGCATCCGACCTTCAGAACGATGCGGGTGTACGGGATGCTGAAGTCGGGGTGCTCTGAGAACCGCGTGGCGACGCCGTGGTAGAAGGCGCCGCCCCACGTGAGCGTGTCAGCCACATGCACGCCGACGTCCGTGCACTCGTGGATGCGGGTGTCGCTCGAGTTCTTAAGCCCATATTGTAGAATGCTGGGGAGGCAGTGGAACGTCGCCCCGTGCCAGTACGACTTGTAGCTTGCCTTTGTGGGGAAGGTCGTTTCAAACACCATATGTTCCACCCAACCGCCCTTTGGCTCTCTGAAGACATGCTGATCGCCCTCCTGGCGCTTCACGTTGGGGAGTCCAGCGACGAACCGCATCAGCAGGTCCTGTGACGAGATATTGCCGTGCTGCCACTTAGTCATCCACTTCTGCACATTGGGCGCGTTCCAGCGGTGCAGGGCAGTGTGCGTCTCATGGGCAGAGTGCTCAAATACCGGAGACGACATCGCGGCCGCAGCTGAGTCGGGCAACCTGGGATGGAGCGCGAAAGCGGCGTCGGGCCTGCTTGAGCCACGCAAGTCTACTGATAATATTCAGCAATCCTGCGAGTGAGCGGGGCGGCAGAGTCCGCGAGGCTACCGAAGCCGCTGGCGGCCTCTCGGCCTCTCTGGCGCCTGCCCAAGCGATGGCGCTGCCGCGGAGGCGGCGCGCATGCGCTCGCCCTCAGGAGGAGGAGGCTCTGCGGCCGACGCCATGGGGGCCGCGGGCTGCGAGAGCAGAGGAACAGCTAGCTGAACAGTAAACAGTTGGGATGCTTGGGATGTAGACAATAGCTCTGGAGAGAACTGGGGTAAATGAGAGGGCCAAACAACTCCGCGCAATCCTTTGGGCTGGTCACCTTGGCTAGAAGACTGGGCCGAACGGCACGGGCCGACGTCTGTTCCAAAATCGCGAGTTGAATCTATGTGGTACAACCGATGCGGTGCAATCCACGTGTTCATTTTCTTGTCTAATGTAAAGCGCAACTCCTTAACTGCTGCTTCAAACTATACGAGGTCCTCGGAACCTATCCAGCTTATATCTGCGTGCTGCTTCAACCAGCGCGCGCAACGAAACCGCGATGCAGACTCGAAAAGCACAGGGCCTATAAGAGGATCCACGGCGGCTCAGCGGCGGCGCTTGCGACTCAGGTTGAAGCAAGGAGCCACCTGCAGGCAATTGCTCACCGCCGGCTGGTTGATCTTCAACTCGATGGGCCGATGATCTGGCAAGGCAAGCTCGTGCCGAATGTACGCCTTAACGGACAAGATCGTGGTGGAGTAATGGCAAATGTACTGGTCGAGATCCTGAATCACATTCTGCGGGTGCTCGACCGTGATCCGCACGAACAGCTGGTGCGTGTACTGGCAGAAGATCACGAGGGCGGCAGTCGCTTGAACATGGCGAACATGGCGGACTGCCACCCAATCCAGTGCGTGATCGGCAGGCTTGTACATCATGACATGCCCTAGGGAGACGCCAGATATACTCTTGCGCCGAGTTGGCCGTGCTCTCCTGGTTCCAGGAAGCGCGAACGTGCCCTCTCGGTCAACCCGCGGAGGCACGAACGCAAATCCGTTCTAAACCTAGATCGAGCAACGGGAAACATCGATACAATGGTATAGATACCGTTTCCCGATAGCCGTCGTAACGCTGGAAGGTCCATTTCTTCCAGGCGCACTGGAAGTTATGTGGAATCCATATCTTGTCCTCTGGGCAAAGGCACGGGGGGAGGGATCATGCTAAAACTTATTGTTATTGCGACAAGGCAACTTAAACCATAAGGCCTCCAAAGGTTCAGCACTCCCCGAATCCTCGCCGTTATCAATGCGATCTTGTTGACGCAGGCCCAGTTTGTTCCAGGCGATGAAAGGAGGCAGGTTAGGCGTGGGTCCCATCGCGGCCACGCTGCCAATGTAAGTAAATTCGTATGCCATGGCGCACGACAAAGTACCACTGCAGATTTCAAATCTCGAGCCTATCTGCAGCAGCTATATATGCAATACATGCAGAACAAAGTAACATATTAACATGTGTTGGTCTACATTAATAAGATATGCAATGTGTGAATGATAAGATAACGTATTGCTACTGCAATAGTATTAGTAGTACTACGTACTAGCACATTGCAGTTATTACTGCTACATAGTAGTAGTACTTGGTAGTAACGCGTCGTAGGGCTGGTAGTCGTACTTAGTGGAAGTAGTATTTAGTACAAGCACTTACTACTACTGCTTATGCTGGTAATTGCTATCGTATGCCGCCGAGAAGCGACGACGATGACGGCGACAAAGGCGACGACGACGACGAAGGACGACAACAACGAGAGAAGACAACACGGACGAGTGATGTAGCAATTTGCAGCAACATTAAAAACGCTGGGACGCGCGAGTGAAAAACGATCTGTTCAGCAAGGGAATAACTGTTGTAGGGGGGCGTTTTTGCCCTTTCTCTATCAAAGGATCGGGCAGAAAACGCCCCCCTACAACGCAAGGCCGGGGTAGACAGGACCCGACAAATCGCGTAACGTGCATGCGAAACCGTGACTTCAACAGAATCGAAAATCATAGCCAGAATTGCGATTTCATTGTCTACCGCCAGAAGCGACGACGACGAGAGCGACAAAGGCAGGCGACGACGACGACGACGAAAGACGGCAACGACGAGAGAGGCCGACACGGACAAGCGATGTAACGATTTGAACAACGTAAAAAAGGTTGGACGTGCGAGTGAAAAGCGATGTCCAGCAAGGGAATAACTGTTGTAGGGGGGCGTTTTTGCCCTTTCTCTATCAAAGGATCGGGCAGAACACGCCCCCCTACAACGCAAGGCCGGGGTAGACAGGACCCGACAAATAGCGTAACGTGCATGCGAAACCTTGACTTCGACAGAATCGAAAATCATAGCCAGAATTGCGATTTCATTGTCTACCGCCAGAAGCGACGACGACGAGAGCGACAAAGGCAGGCGACGACGACGACGACGAAAGACGGCAACAACGAGAGAGGCCGACACGGACAAGCGATGTAACGATTTGAACAACGTAAAAAAGGTTGGACGTGCGAGTGAAAAGCGATGTCCAGCAAGGGAATAACTGTTGTAGGGGGGCGTTTTTGCCCTTTCTCTATCAAAGGATCGGGCAGAAAACGCCCCCCTACAACGCCGTGCCGGGATGCGCAGGACGGGGCGAATAGCGCAACGTACGTGCAAAATCGTGTGGGAGGGACAAATCGGGTCTAAGTATGAGCAAACAGCGCAAAAAGTGAGGAGAAGAACCGAACATGAGAGAGAGAGCGCAAAAAGTGAGGAGAGGAGCCGAACGTGAGAGAGAGCGTGCAACAAGTGAGGAGAGGAGCCGAACGTTGCATCACCAGCATCATTGCCATTAACATCATCATAACCACTATCATTCGAACAGCTGCCACCTAAGGGGCTGGGTTGGCACGGTGGCGGGACTTGCCGCAGGCAGCTGGGCGAGAACACCATTCCGACGTCAACGTGCAAGCGTGCGATGGTGGCTGTCTGGTAGGGTCAGATGATGATTTCAATGCCTGTGGCTGTCTGGTTGGGTTGGGCTGACGCAGGAGGAACGCTATATCCTCTTCCTCCTCCCCCCCCTCCCCCCTCCTCCTCCCCTCTCTCTCTCTCTCTCTCTCTCTCTCTCTCTCTCTCTCTCTCTCTCTCTCTCTCTCTCTCTCTCTCTCTCTCTCTCTCTCTCTTTTTTTTTTTTTTTTTTTTTTTTTTTTTTTTTTTGTCTACTTCCCCGAATCTTTTTCTGTGCCGCTTGCCCAGTTCACTCTCTGCGAAAATAATCGTGATCAACATCAGCCCTCCACGAGAAAATCAGGCAGGTCAGAGGCATCTGGCATTGATTCGCCGATCGCCTGGAGGATCTCGTTCAAAAACTTATATACGACGTCAGCTCTCCCGCCGCGCTGGCGGTAATCAGTAATCGCGTTGGCCATTCGCTCGAGTGCACTCTGGTCCAAGGGCGGGCAGCGCTCTGAATACGAAGTGCTGACGCATGGCATGCCGTTGTCTAAGTACCGCGCAGCAAGCTGCTTCTGGTATTCACATAACATATAAAAAATAGCAAGATTCGACCAATCTGCATACTCTGGGTTATTCGAGCGACTTCCCCGAATCTTTTTCTGCGCCGCTTGCCCAGTTCACTCTCTGCGAAAATAATCGTGATCAACATCAGCCCTCCACGAGAAAATCAGGCAGGTCAGAGGCATCTGGCATTGATTCGCCGATCGCCTGGAGGATCTCGTTCAAAAACTTATATCGACGTCAGCTCTCCCGCCGCGCTGGCGGTAATCAGTAATCGCGTTGGCCATTCGCTCGAGTGCACTCTGGTCCAAGGGCGGGCAGCACTCTGAATGCGAAGTGCTGACGTATGGCGTGCCGTTGTCTAAGTACCACGCAGCAAGCTGCTTCTGGTATTCACATAACATATAAAAAATAGCAAGATTCGACCAATCTGCATACTCTGGGTAATTCGAGCGGGTGTACGCGGCAGTGTATTCCAGAAGCTCTACGTAAAGGTCCCACTTGCTTTTTGCAGCCAGATCCTCGTACATGTAGAACAAATAACCAAACATATAATTTACAGCGCGGCATGGCCCAATCCCGATGACGGTCACATTCGTCCATTCCGCGCGGATGCTGTCGTGCACAAGAGAGCCCTCGTTAACGAACCCGCCAGGAACGAGGTTGTCAACGACATCGTTGACGAGCTCTTTAGCCCGGAACCCGCTGCCGCCGTATCCGCTGATGCCTCTGACAGACTCCAGCAAGCTACGCGCGCTGTAATTCTTCAAGAATGCATCAGCTATCGTTCTGGCCTGTTCAGCAACGGCGGCCAGGTCTCGGACTAGTAATAAATAGCCGCTGACGGGGTCCTTAGCCGTGGTGCGCATCGGGTTGACATATGTTCCAAAGATCTGGCAGCGAGACTTGATGAAGAAACGATCCAGATCTCGCAAGTTGCTAACACAATTCGCTTCCGTCTGTGGATCTACCGCATGCAACGTCAACCAGGGTGGGGACTTGTCCCGTAAAGCTATCCGAACTGCTAGGCTTGCAGTGTTCCTTACAAAGCATGCGTTTGTGATGAACTCCGCGAGTAGGCTGGCACGGCAGTGCGCACTTGCGCGCGTCGACAACTCATGATTGTACCAGTCGTACGTCCACTTCGTCGTGGGAGTATCTAACCTCGAATCAGCATTGACTCTTTTGAACATGGCTAAATCTGCCGTCACCAACTCCTTCTGTCGCTGCGATAGCGCTCTGCTGACTGCGATCTTCCTTGCTGCGAAGAAAACGATCATGGTGCGAACTCGCTCTTCATACGATGCGGCTTTGGAAAATGGCTCGCCGACGCGCAGGGCAGACGACGAGAGGAAACCGGGTCGACAACGCAATTCAGATTTCCAATTAAAATCCTTTTTTTCAGCCTGCCGAC